CGTCTGAATAGTTCCAAGAAGATATGACTATTTTTTCAGCATTAGAATTATATTCTAGTTGGAATTTTTAAAATTTTTCTCTCTATTTTGTCGTAAGTATACTTCTACAGCTCGGCGAAAGAGATCGTTTGTTGATTCAAATTCATGAACCGAAGTTTCAGCTGCGATATCGAAAAGTTATCACCGAAAAATTAGAAATAAATACATGCGTTAAAATTTCTGCTCATATATTATACAAAGCTATTGCTTAGTGTTATCAATACAACTATAATGTCTGGAGCATTATTAGAAGACGAAATTAGCATTGAGTTAGACTCAACAAGAGCCATTGCGGCGAACGGTAGACAAGAGAATAACTTTCAAATTGTCTTTAATCCAGCCATATCTTTAGATATTAACAAAAAATATCAATTGGCTCTTACTGAAGCTAGTTTGTGGAATTCGTGGGAAAATGTCACTACAAAAAACAACCAAATTGAGTTTGAGATTAAAAATGGAAACTATGGTGATACTGATGGTGCACAGAGAGGAGAGCTCAAACAGACTCCAATTCAACGGCAAAAAATCACAATACCCCCAAGCGCTTACAACATTCCCGATATCAATGAAGCTATTAAAAATGCTATGGAAGCATTGGGGGTAAAGTTCGCACATGAAGATGAAACCGCAAGACGTGATCCACCCTTTGTGCTCTCAGTAAATATTCCCACATCTAAATCTGAGATTACTGTTAAAGGTGACCTTGTAGTTTCCTTTGACACAGATAACAGCTTAGGCCCTATTTTGGGATTTTCTGTGGATGAAGGTGATATTACTAGAGGAAAGAATTTAAGTCAGAATCGAATTAACATTACAGATGTACAAAAGATCCATATTCACTGCTCGCTTATTAATTCAAGTATAGTAAACGGGAATTCTAGTGATGTTGTTAAATTATTTACTCAAACGGTGGACCAGGACGCTTGTTGGAAATAAGTCCCAGTCCACCGACCTATTTACCAGTAATAGAAACTAGTCTTATTACTCGAGTGCGAATGAACATCACTGATCAGTCAGGAAATGAGATTGATTTAAATGTTGAGCAAGTAACTTACACTTTAAACATCCGTCGAAAAATGTGATTATACACGCTCATAAGCGGATTCCGATTCAAAGTTGTTGTTATGACAACAACTTATTTTCTGTGTATAATATACTTAATAATGATAATTCAAGCAAGTAGACGTGGTATAGTTCGTCGAAAATTCGTCGTGTGGTCATTGATAGGAAATCTCGTGGACCTTGCTGGTAAAGCAAAGGGTGCGTTGTTTAGTGTGGGGAAGTCCGCAGCTGCAGCTTTAGGATCTCGCGTAGGTAAATTTGCTCCAAAAATCAAGAATGTGGCCGTGGCGGCTGGTAAAAAAGCAATTCGTGACACGGCTACAGCAGCCAAAGAGGCTGTTATATCGACTGCAAAAGAGCAGTTCTCGCTTGAAAACGTACGCAGTCTTGTTGCCTATCTTGCTCGCGGGGATGTTAAAGGAGTGGCTAGAAAAGCTAAATCACGTGCATCTGCAGTGGCAAGAAAAGCTAAATCACGTGCATCTGCAGTGGCTAGAAAAGCTAAATAATTTTTAAATGTCTGCCATTGTATTTAATAAACGCAGTGTTTTGGGAGATGTACCCAAAAGCCAAGAAATGAAAAAGAAACATAAATATTCAGGATAGCTAGAATAAATGTTATGACAAATGGTTTGGCTTGGCCCCAAATGTGGACACTGTTTTTTTTTCCAAACCAAAACGAAATGGGAGGGAAAACCGGCGGATCCGGTAAAAAACCCTCCAATAAAAGAAAAAGAAAAAATTTAGAAGAATTGCCTCAAATTTTTGTAGTGTTTTATGATGTTTTATATTTTTGTTGTTTTCAATGATCCCGATGATCTACTTTAACATGCAGCGTAGTCAGATCGTGCGTCTTATACAGTCGTATAAAAAATTTAAATTTACGGAGCAACAAAAATGTGGGCTGACTACCCTATTGACAAAGCAAATATTTTTTGTTCGTACAAAAGAAACGCAAACCTTTGTAGAGCACAAAAAATGAAATAGTGCAGAGTGTTAACAAAAATTGTAATCAATAGACGAAAAACGAAAACTAATAGCAGCCATATATAAATCATGTATAAAAATTATTCAGTACGTAGGACCTGACCATTCACCTGTCAATAACAATTAAAAATAAAATGACTAAAGAGACGTTATGACTTGCATAAAAATAGTTTTTGATGTCTGCTAAACTTTATTCCATTGAAATTTCTGTTGCCTCATTAATTAATAGCTGGCTTTCACTCGTGTGTTTTGTCAGAAAATTTAACAATTGTGAACATTTAGTTATACGGAAATTTTTAACGGTCGAATTTGAAAATGTGTTATACTGATAGACATTATGGATAAATAAATTAGCAAGTGTGAATCTTATAATAACGACGCTTGTTTCTTGGTGTTTCTGCCCGACTTCGTCGTTCATTCATTGTCCAGTTAGAAGGCCTACAGACATAGCTACTCTATATAAAAAACACGTTATAAATGTCAGCATTATGAAGGAACAAAAACAGAAATTAATTATATTGAAAAGAACAAAACTTTAATACCTGATTTTCAAGGGTTGTCCTGGTCAGTTTGATCCAGGTGACTTGGTCGGTCTCTTCCTTTTTTTTTCACAGCGTAGTTTTTACGTTGTATCGTTGAAATTAATTGTAAAATTTTTATCTTAGTAATTCAATGAACCTTACTTGCATCATTGCAATTTTCTTAATAAACGTTAAATAAAATTACTAAAAAGTAGCGAGTGAAAGCCAGCTATTTTCTCACAGCAAGTGACATCTTTTATCGACACTTTTTTAAGTTGGGTGTTTTTCATGATTAAGTTTCAAATTATAAAGATAGACCATCAGGATCCTTTTTAACTATCTCATGCAGTTACTCATACAAGTTAATTTTAACACTTATATCTACTCAACTTACAAACCACAAGATATAGATCGTGTTTTTCCACTCGCTTGTTTTCCATCTTCGTAGAATGTAGTCCATTTTTATAGTGCAATCACTTCAATGTAAATGTTCATACGTACATATGCCGTTATGCAATGTCCATTCAACGTGTCGATACCATTCCATACACGAAGTTAGGAGCATCATCAACCAATAAAGTAGCTACTAATATGATGAATCGCCATTTCGATAGACTACAATTCACAATGCACTGTTATGGTAACTTTAAGCGAAGGAAAAGGGACCGCCCTTCAATACCCCAGTTTTATCATTACTCAAAAAATGCTTAGTGCAGAGTTGATCCTCTGTGAGTATCAGTTGATCACCTTTAGGTGTGTTCATATAACAATGGGGCCCATCATCATTATATGAACAAACAACTGACATCAACAAAGAATCCAAACTACAAATGAACATTCTTGGCCTTGAATCACCATGACACATGAGTAATGACAAACTAGTAAGAGTAATTGAAGTGAATGACACAGGTGGTAAAGGGACTTTCACAACTCCATTCTTGAGGCATCTACAATATAAGAAAATATGAAACACATGTATGAGATTTCATGATGAATATTTCTGCATATGACGTTAGTTTGCGTTTTAAATTCTTAATGAGATATATTGAGAATGAGCAAATTGTTATATGTTTTCTCTTTGACCATTTAAACGGTAGAACATTCACCTTTATTGCACGAATAGCTTTAGTGAGTTGAGTTTGAACGATGTAACAAGTTTTCACGATCAAGGACTTATAATCGTGATGAAAGCATTTTACAGTGAAAGCTTTCAGATTACGAGGCCTACACTAAGGCCAGTTGATTATTCCATGTAACTCATACTTCAGTATTCGTCAGTAAAAAGACAGAATTTACCTTTCTTCCTAAAACGTTAAAGTGAGTAATTTTCTTTTGAAGTAAAACACACGAATTTAAACATGTTAACGTTTCTTTAATTGACGTCATAACTAAAATTATTATTGTGATTTATAGGCATGTCACCTTTCACAAAGACAACAAGTAATCCTTATGCGTTTCAAACATTGCATTTTACATGTGCCGAATGTATTTAAGACAAAAGATAATAAGGAATTTTATCTCATTAGCTTTTGTTTTAAATGCATTGGGCGCATGTAAAATGCAATGTTTGAAACAGGCCTTAAAAACGCATTGAAGGATTACTTGTTGTCTTTTTGAAAGGTGACATGCTCCTAAGGAGCCAATCACAATAATAATTTTAGTTATGACGTCAATTAAAGAAACGTTAACATGTTTAAATTTGTGTGTTTAACTTCAACAGAAAATTCAAAGTCAAATGACTACCGCTAAGGTAGTTGAAAGTTAAATATTCGCTGTCAAATTATTTACCAACCAGTTATAGTGGACTTTGCTCTAAGAAACTTGACAATTTACAAGGTGTAAATACTGTGAAATCAACTCTACAATCTCGCAAAAAACTTATTCTCAATGACCAATGAACAAAAACGGTCACTTTCAATTTCGCGTTGGAAATGGGCTCTTGGTAGATAAATGAAAAATGTGCCACAGGAAAACAAATAGTAAAATATCTTCGCAAAGTGAAAGTTTAATGAGAAAAACATGTTTTTTTATCATTATGAAAATGTTATCTATGTTTTTTTCACATGCTTTCCTTGACTTTGAAAAATGTTCAAAAAACAATAATTTTACATGGGTAAACAAAGAAATTGTTCCCGTGAGATGAAAGGTAACATGTAAAATTTACCTTCCATCTTTACTAAATGATGTTTGTCGAACGGCTGCTGTACATTTAGGATGAGAGAGAACTTTCTGCCTGCGTGGGAACTAAACACATAAAATTGCATTAAGATGATGTATGTTGTTACCATTGAACATGGAACGCTACCTAAAGCAAATAATTAAAGCCAAATCTTACATCCAGACACGCGAGATTATATCCAGACACGCGTGTTTAGTGTTTCCTGATTCTCTCGCGGAGTGAAAATTGATTGACTACACATGTCCCCTGGAATCCTCGTCATCACCAGGACCATCCACTTGAGGCATACGTAAAGGTGGTTTTCAGTCCATTTCCTCTTCATCCTCCGAACTGCAAGTGAAGAAGACAGCTACTCAAAACTTTAGAGAAGATTGATTGTTTTTCATTTAAGATGCTTTCAGTGTTTGCACAGAATTATGAAAAGCAAGGAGACCTTTGGGAAAACTCGATCACTGATGACCAGAGTCAAAGTCTTGCAGATGCTCCAAAGTTCTCACAAACGTCTCCGAGGTTTGCATAAGCCTGTGTAAACACGAAAAACATCTTTTACTTCTTTTATAAAACAACGATAATACAAAACAGACAAATTAAAAACAAATGTTGTAATTTTTCCTGTAACATGTATTCATGATTGATTTGGAAATTCTCTTTGATTGATTTTAATTGATTGAGCTCAGATAGGTTCGCTCATGCCAAGTTTGCTAATGTTAACTCAACTATAGACAAATCAACGCACGCATTTTTCTGTCTTTATTTTATAAACAAAAATGGATACTTTTACCTTTGGGAATCATGCTCCTCTTCATCATCTTTCCAAAATGGCTGTGACATTAATATTGATTCTTTATCTTCATCAATATCTTCATCATGTTCATCATCACTACCTTCTCAATAAACAATAAAATAAAAAAGATTGATTGAAAAATTTCATATACGACAAATTTTACCAAACACAAATGAAACTGTACACAATCACCATTGATATCCATGTCTAATTATGGTAGTTTTGATCTCAATACAATATTCATATAATGGAGTGTTCATTCTTACTTTGTGAGCCCGCAATATGAGAACATTCATGCAGCAGTGTTTCATTGTCATCCTTATCCAAACTCATTAAAATCTCCACCAATTCTTTATCCAACTCTCCAGCTAAATAAATGTCTTATATTAATAAAAATTTGAACCCTTGAGAGGGAAAGAATTATTTTTGGTGAAGAATACATGAATTGCTGGCCTGGCTGGCTTGTAGTGCATCTATAACTGACTGATCAACAACTGGACTATCCACGTCCACATCTAAAATAGAAGAAAATAGAAATATTTAGTTGTATGATTATAACTTGAAATAAGTTGACAAAAATCATCAAAACCTTGGTTTATTGTTGCTTCACACTGCAGTTGCTTGCCTTGTGACAAAATACTTTGAGAAAATTCTTTAAAGTCTTTGGGTGAAAGAGATTTTTCCATTGTCTCCAACTCACTTTGACTGCAAGTTTATTTGAAATTTATAAAAATATAAAGTGAAATCATTAAACATCACAAGATCGAAACTTACATCACTTTATTTCTTTCATCAATAATTTCTTTGATTCTTTTTATAAATTCTTCCTCAAGATTCAATACAGGTGCTTCAACATCAGTGTGCGAATTAATGGTGTGCAATGTGCAATTTACACATCGTTTTAGCTAAAATGAAAACAATTGCACATCACTTTTTCAAACGATATGCAAAAAACATCGTTATTGATTACTACAACATAAATTGAAAAAAGTTTTCAAGCTTAATCTTTACTGATCTTTACTTTATAAACGAGTGCGCTGCACGACATTAAAATCCATGTTTACACAATGTCATAAAATTCAAAGACGTTGTCACTGAGACTGGGAAGTCTGTCAACAGTCTACATACATAGTGCTTATATGCTTATGACAATAGGGGTGTAATACATTATTAATGTCAATTTTTGCATTTGCGTTGTTTTGTAAACCGTTACGTACTGTTTTTGGCATCATAGCTATTTTGAGTATTTTTAGTAAAATCAGGAAACATTTTGATTTTGATTCTTAAAAGAAGACAAAAAAAACTTAAATAATCCAAATTTGAAAAATAAACAAAGGGAATTTCGATTTTAAATAAGCCTAACGTGAGAAAAAGAGGCCAAATTTGGCTCAAAAGATTAAGCCAAACTGTCAACCATGAGCAGCCATACTTTTTGCTTTTACATATTGCTTGTAATATGACATAAATATGATGTTTTTTATCGTAAGTAAACATCAAGGACGTTACTAGGGGGTTTTAGCAGAGCCTACGAGTACTACGAGCACGATTTACGTCATTTTGGCGCGAAAACATTGTTGCGACAACAAAAACACGTAGCCGTCATCAATCTGAGTACGATGTTTTGTAAAAAATTCGTAGTCGCGACTACGATGTCTTTTTAAGCAAATAAAGTAGGTATATTTCTTCATTCTGTTAAAAATTAGTTTACAGTATTATTTTCGAGCATCAAGGCTTTAATGTAGAACCCTTTTTGAGCGCAGATGTACATTAAAAAGGAAAATATGACCTGCAAAACTTTCATGTATTTCGTACGCAAAGTGAAAGGTAAACAAACAATAAAACAGTACAAATATATCGTACATAAAACTTAAAATAGTGAAGATTTTTCAGTCTAAAGAGTCCTACATTCTCGCAAAACCAGTATTATCGATTCTTTGATATCATTATTGACAAATAGAGCCGTAGCTGCTTCGCAAACGTCGGTGTTTTACACAATAAAAAGGCTCGTTCTGTTGTTTACAACTAAAGCAAAATTTTGACGAAGCGACAACGACAACCATCTTCCTCGTGCCATTCCCTTACACGATCAAATTTCGTACTCGTTCTCGTAGTCGTACTCTTGCTAAAACACCCTACTGTTAATAATCAGAAAGCAAAAGTATATTCGGTTATTCTCTTTTCACTTTTGCACAAAAAAGAGGAGAGAATAACATGCGAAAAAAATTTCTCTCATACATTTGTAACTGGATCAGCGGTTGTAACGAAAAACACTGTTGTAAATCATATGAATTAGTGCAAGTTTAAAAATATTAATTTAGAAATTAGCGCTGTATAATAAATAAGGTAATATCGATTTGAATCATTTCATTATGACTCTAAAGAAACACTTTTGTCAAAAAAAATTGCACATCGTTTTTTCTAAACTAATTCGCACATTGAATACGATCTAACGACAAAAAAGTTGAATTTTTACCTACGTATTGTTAACTGTTTAGTAAAAGAAAATTAATAAAGGAGCAGTTGTACACATCTTCATGTAACAATGAAAATGTTTAAACTTAAGAAAACATGAAATTTTATGCACTAAACAACAGCTGCATTTTGGGATATATAAGTCAGAGCTTCATAAATCATAAATACCATGACAATATCAAATACATGAAATGTATTGTGAGTTATACGATGTGACATGTATTTTTTGTACCTTACCTTGTGAAACAGGAAGAGCAACTTGTGAAGATAGTCCAATATCTCATCTTTGTTGTCTTTCATCTTCCCACATAGCAGTTATACCAGGATTATGACCAATACAACCTTCATGAACATATGAAATCTCTAAGTTAACAACTCATTAGAAATGTATAAACAGAAAAATGAAGACATAAAGATAAGTAAATTTTACTTTCAACAATTATTTGATTCAAGATGTCTTCAGCAATTACATCAACTTCAAGTTCACAACGACTGACTTTTTCACAGTAGGATCCAGGCATAAATTTCTAAATAATGACAAATAACAAACATTAAAATGATGAATATCAACTGTAAAGATAGTTATCACAAAGAATCATTCCAAAGTTAAACTAATTTTTTAAATGTAAATTCTGTAATCTGGATTGAGCATTGACTCTAAATCTTGGGATAAATCATACGCACATGTGTCAAATTTAGGATTAAGGATTTACACAAATCCTTTTGGTTTCAATTAATCTTCAAGTGTAAAATATATGAATCAGACAAACCTAGGAATAGTGTCTTCATTCCAGTGTTGAGATGAAGGAAAATTGAGAAATGAATTTGGAGATGAACCATGAAGTGGAATTGATTTATTATTATATGAAAGATTTTTATCTATAAAATTCAATTTGATGGTAAATAATCATTTGTGGTGTTAGATTTTTATAGAATGCTGAAAAATCAATAATGAAACTTTCCTGTTTTGAAGAAATTCCTCTAAAATGAACTTTTCTTACATGAAGTAAGTTCATACCATAAAGATTGTAATCAATTAGAAACTAAAATAAACGATATTTCAATATAATTCTTACAATGTAACTTAGTGAAAATCTATAGAAGTTGACCTTCCAGGTAGGAAAAGACTAAAGAAGGTCAGTGGCATTAGTGTTGAATGACATTTTAACATTGTTACCAGTAATCATCTCATCTAGATGTGAAAACATCAATCAAGACTACCCCCAACAATCCTTCTCAATACTGTATTATCTTTATGATCAACATCAACAAACATGCAGCTATACTTCCACAATGTGTTCAAACCATTCACTTTATTGACAAAATGTTTTGCACATGAAATTTACAGCTATAATCCATAATGGAATGTTTTTATTGGGCACCTGAGATCTGATGTATAATTATTGCAAAGTGGGCACCTATACATGCAAATATTGCATCTCTGATGTCGTTAGAAAATTCAGCCTATTTTTTACTCCTATGTACAATACAAATATTGCTTTAATCAATTACTTTCAAAAACAATGAATGAGATGAATTTCTAAAGAAATAAACAACAAACTTTGCAGGCCTTGCCCCCTGTCTGGTGCACAGTTTACAAACTAACCACTCCAGTCTGGGTTATAACAATCAAAGATGTGTTTTTCCTCATTAATAATAAAAAACAATAATTACCTGTAGAATATAAGGAACATGAGCTTCGTGTGGTTGAAATGACTTGTTCAATATAGCTCCATTCTGAAGAAGATCAACAAGTCTGAAAAAATGAAAAATTTTGATGTCGTTTTATGTTAGAACAACATGAAAATATATCTTACTTGGGAATTATTCTTGGATTGTACAACTCCATCTTAATAAACTCTTCTTCGTTCTCATGATAACCATAAAATGGTCTAAAAATAAAATCATTTTGGGTGAATAATATTGAAACGTTATTGGGTCGAAAATGGAAGATTTTGTATTGTGATGTAAAGAAGAGAGTAAAAAAGATTTAATAATAGTAAGCTTTGTCAACATGAGGAGAAAACAAGGAAAATAACTTACATTTTTTTAACAATTTCAGTTTTATGAACATATTTCATAGAAGATGATGTTCTACCAAACGCAACTTGAACAGCAAAGTCTACACTTGTCGTAAATTGTTTCAGATATTTATCTGTGGGTTTAGTTCCATCGTAAGGTATGTATAAGTAAGGAAATACTTGATGAATATGAACACAAGTTTTCTGTCCACCAGGAGTTGAGCCAAATATCCTCAAAACTGGAACACGGTTAACATTCGCCTCACGAAATTTAGAAAACAAAATATCTAAGCCATCTATAGGTTTTCCCACGTAAAAATCTGCATCTACAATCCTAACAGAAAACATTCTGTTGTTCCAAGTAAGAAAATATATCGTCAATTAAAATTTTTGAAAGAAGAAAGACGAGAGTTGAATCCGCCATATTTGTTTTAGATTATAGATTAGCCAATCAAAGATTTTATAAGCAAACCCTTATACTAAATCATCGTAATCACCTTTTTGGGATTAGATGGGATTTAGAAACTTTCCAAGGGTGAGAATGACTTTATAGACCTCGCTAGAAAGGCTCACGCGTTTGGTGTTAGAAAATATACTCCCCAGAAGTTCATGTCTTTCTTCATGTCTAACTACGACACTGCATGTAAAGGATTTCCGCTTTCGTCGAGCAAAATAGTGTCCGCATCCTGATGTTTTGGTCCCGTACAGCCATGTCAATACTGAAAATTATTAATAGTTAAATGTGTACAACATTTATGAGTTGATTGAGTTAAGATGAAATTGAATTTGCAATAAAATTTCTAAATCAATCCCTGTCGTGTATATTTCAATTATAGCTAAAATATAAAATTTACTCATCTCATTTTATCGTCTCGCTGTTATGAACAGAATTCAATATTTTACAATACAAAAAGCAGGTGATTAAAATCAAACATTTATTGAACATTCCAATTTCTTTATTATCAAGAAAAAGCAAACACATCATGTAGATGGTTGCGTCTTCTTTAATCTTTCTAAATTTATGTTGATTGAAAATTTCACCTGTCATAGTGTCATTGTTTGTTCTTATGTCTAGAATTTTGTTATATTTGTCATAAAAAACCTGAATGTCATTTTCGTGGTGGAATTCACGCTTAATATGTTTTATATTGATACATCTGTTGATTTTGATGGGATTTTCCCAAAAACACATTGGATAATTTATCATTTCAAAATACTGACCTTTCTTGCATTATCACCAACAGTTAATTTCACTGGTCTTTTCGAATATCATTGGTACGGCAGAGCTAAAAATCAACAAGATGAATCTAAATTATGACACGTCACAGAATTTCAGTTATGCCTATCATGTGCAATAATTTTAATTTTATCTAACATGGCTTTTATCAAGAAGAATTTTTTCCTCATTCATATAGTCATCTATCTATTTGTCTTTTTCGTAACACAGATGATGACATAAAAACGTTTTGCTAGGTATGTCTTTAGAAATTGCGCCTAATTGGAGTAAAAAGCTCACTTCTTCACGTGATAGTACACGTGATTTTTTCTCGTCTATAATTGTTCAATATGTTGTAAGATAGACTATTTAAAATATTTTTTTGCGTCAAAAGTTCACAAAATGACAAAACTTTGCATGATGAACTGTCAAGTCCAAACGCTATCAATTTTGAAGTATCTCTGATTACTGAGATGTGACAAAATTATTCAAAATTGAAGACTTGAGATTAATTACTCTGAAATTCCCTTTTTAAATAAAGACTGCTCCTAAAATCTTGAGCCCCCCAATTTTTACTTGCCTCCCAACGCCCCTGATCAGATTATTTGTTTATCCGGATCAAAAGTTTACAAAATGACAAAACTTCATTGACCACGTTTCAAAGTTGGAACGCTGACAATTTTAGAGAAGCTCTGTTTATCGATTTTCTTAACTTCCTAAATTATAAATCTTTAATTTTTGAGCTATCTTATTTGTAAAAGGCAGGCTGCCCCGTCTTCTTTATAATTATTTCAGTTAGTTTGCATGTAAGTCAGGATGTTCAATAATTGAAATAAATAATAGTAAACTGTGAAAGGTTTATTGGCATAAAGCTTCCAAGTCAAAACTTTTTTGTGTTTACTTCAGTCATAGCTAAAATAAAAAATTTGCATTTCATATTTTATTGGGTATGACCAGCATTCAATATTTTACAATAAAACAGCAGGTGATTAAAATCAAGCATTTATTTAACATTCAGATTTCTTTATTATCAAGCAAAAGCAAACACATCATGTAGTTGGTTGCGTCGTTTTCAATCTTTCTGAATTTGTTAAGGTAAGTTGATTTTAAAGTTCACCTATCATAGTGTCATTATTTTTTCTTATGTCTAGAATTTTGTTATATTTATCATAAAAAACCTGAATTTTCTTCTTCGTGGTCAATTCGCACTTCATATGTTTTATATTGATACATCTGTTGATTTTGGTGGGATTTTCCCAATAACACATTGGATAATTTATCATTTCAAAATAATGACCTTTCTTGCATTATCACCAACAATTAATTTCACTTGTCTTTTCAAATATCATTGGTACGGAAGGGCTAAAAAATCAACAAGATGAATCAAAATAATGACACGTCACAAAATTTCAGTTATGCATATCATTATGTGTAATAATTTTAATTTTATCTAAAATGGCTTTTATGAAGAAGAAATTTTTCCTCATTCATAAAGTCATCTATCTATTTATCGTAATGTGTTATTTGATGTGTATTCCCCACCATTGTCACTCCTTAAGATCTTCAAATGTCGTTTGTTTGAACTCTGGATTTTCATATTATTAACAAATTTTTTAAACTTTGCGTGTACTTCACTCTTGCGCTTGATGAAATATGCAACTGCAAACTGTGAATAGTCGTCAATAAATGTTACCATATATCGACTGCCTCCCTTCGATTCAATTTGCATGGGGCCACATACATCACTGTGGACAACTTCATATGCTTTAGTAGCTGTGTGTTGACTTCCTTGAGGAGAAGGATTTCTGTGCATCTTTCCGCCAATGCATCCTTCATAATTGTTTGCAGCTTTCTCATTTCTGCCATTATCTATTCCTTTCACCTTATTTTTCTTCATCATTTTCTTTATGTAATCATGATTGAGATGGCCTAACATTTGATGCCATATTTGAGGAGATGTATCAATTGACGATTGAAAATATTCTGGATCCTTCACAGTATAACATACCATCGGTTAACTCGCCAATAACATAATCTTTATTATTCTTTGATACAATACAATGATTTCCATCAAATTGGACTTTGGTTTCCATGGCAATCATTGCTGGTGCGTGTAGTAGATTTTTTGCAAGCTTTGGCACATACAACACTTTGTGCAACTCAACATGGTATAATAACTTTACCAGACCTTCACCAAGAGCATGTATCACAGTGTTGTCTCCTAAATATATTTTGGTTGGTGTTTGATATTCAGCATAGTCCACAAACAAATCCTTGTTGTGTGTCATATGCTTTGTTGCAGCGGAATCGATGAACCATTCATCAGAGGATTTAATATTATGAATAAGAGCAACATCACTGCCTTCAATAACACATGAACTTCCTTCTTTCTTATTGGTTGTTTTCAACGGACAATTTTTTGCTATGTGTCCCACCTGGTTACATCTGAAACAGGTAACATTTCTTCCCTTATTGGAATCACACCTTCTTTCATCTCTTCCCATGCTCCATCCTGGTTTGCTGTGTTGTAAAATTTCTCCTCTAGGCCTTTCATTGACTTTTGCAAAGTCATGCCTTTTTCCTCGATTGTAGTTTCCCTTTTTTCTCATGTATAATGCATTGTCTTCTTTCTTATCTTCTTTCTTCTCTTTACGTTTAAGATTTTCCTTAATCAACGATCCTTTCATATTATCCAATCCATATCTTCAACTTTTCTGGCGTTTAAACTAGTGATGAAATTCTCGTACGACTCTGGTAGACTACCTAATGGCACCATTGCGAATTTCTTTGACGGAATTTCCTCATTCGTTTCACGCCGTTGTTCTGCTAATGTGGTCATATATGTGATATGCTTCAGCAAATCTCCCCCTTCTTCCATGCACTCCCAGTGCTTACAAGACCATGTGCTTTCTAAAATATGTATTGATTTACATTTATGAATGACATAAAAAACTGAACTATATACATATCTTTTAACTATTAAATATCTCTTCTCGCAAACTATCATAATTCTGACATTATCAAATATAAACTTATGACAATTCCTTCTGTATGTTTTGAAAAAGTAATACCCTATTTTTGGGCTTACACCAGCAAGGACATACAATTTTTTGCATAAATCTTGGGCGTCAGCAAGCACTTTCGAAGGCGACCAAACATCTTTGAATAGCAGCTCGTTGCAGTGGGCAAAGCAGTGAATATAAAGCGCATGTTTGCAAACTTCATCATTTATTAGTACCGCCAACCTTTCATTGCTAAAGCTCCATCAAATGCCATACCAGCCATTCTTTGAAGATTCAAATTGCATTGCACCAATATGTCTTTAACATACTTTAAAAGATCTTCAGATGATAAACTCTCGTCACATGGCATGACGCCAATAAAACGATAATCTTTCTCCGCCTGGTCTATTTTTCTATACGCAGTCGTTACATAAGTTTTAAATTTATGTAAACTAAAACTTATAAACTAAACTTGTTTCACTTTTTTTGACGACACAGTAGAATGACTATGGAGGCATACAAGGTATTATTATTTATGAAGGTTTTTTAAAACTTGTCTAACTTCCAGAGAAATGCCTAAATGCAGGACAAATTTTAACAGAAATATTCACAGGGTTGTTTTTAGCTACCACCTTCTTTAACCATTTTCATATACAACTGAAAATTTACGAACTGATAATAATCAACAAATTTCAGTTGTCCATAAATTATGGTTAATAAACTATATCCATCTTTATCTTAATCCTTTTATAATCCGTAGATGGAGTCAAGAGAAGAAAGGAATAACTACTACATTCAGAAAATACTTTCAGATGTTGTTACGAAGAAACTTGTTGATCTTTTTATCCAAGAATGGAACACTCATCACAAAAAATCCCACGGAGAATGGGAAAATACAAACGTTAGTGGTCAGGAGTTGTTCAACATTGAAACATCAAAAAAAATATTTCGTGATGAAAAAATATTGTTAAAACTTAAAGATGGTGACACCAGTAAGTGGGATTGCACGACACTATGTAAAGCAATATTGTTTACCCACTCGATTGGAACAAAAATTGATCCAAAGGTTAAAGCTGCTGTGGAAAAACTTCGTGATGTAAGAAACGATTTCACCCATGTTAATCCAGGAAGAGTATCTGATACTGAATTTCACAAAATGCTTTGTGATATTGAAAAGTCATTTAAAGATCTAGCATTTTCATTCACTGAAATTAATGAAATTAAATGTCAACGAAACACATTTAATTCTTTCCAAGAACTTCCTTGCAAACCAAATCACGATGTGGTTAAACGTACAGAGTTAGTTAATCAAATCACAGCAGATCTCAATAACTTGCGCAGTACTAACAATAATGAACTAACATATTACTATATTTCTGGTAATCCTGGAAGTGGTAAATCTGAATTAGCTAGACAAATTTGCGAAGAAATGTATAACTCGTTTGACTGGGAAAAGAATACGACATTTGTGATGACACTCGAGGGAAAAGATATCGACTCTCTTTTGAAAAGTGACGCTGAACTTTGTCAACGATTAAGCAATGATAAAACTGTCATTGAAAATATTTTAAAAGAAGCAAAAAGCAGCGAAGACAAAATTAAAGATTTTCAATTATTGCTGAAACAACAACTTAAATCTTGGCAAACATGGTGGATTGTTGTAGATAACGTGGTTGAACTTCATAAAATTTATCCGTTATTACCTCAAGTTGGTGATCATAGCTGGAAAAATGGACAAATTATAGTAACTGTCCAAAATACAGAGGCTATACCACCAGATGGAAATCTAAATAAACACATTTCAGTTAGTTATGGTATGAACAATGAAGAATGTCGAGAACTACTATCTGTCTTTTCTGATATTCATAATGAAGATGAAAAATTTTTAAAGGATGTAACAGACAAATTAGATCGTCAACCATTGTTCCTGGCAAATGCTGCTTCCTACGTAGGTAGTGTAAAAAGTGTAAATCCGACATTCACGTGGGAGAAATATTTTGATAAGTTGAATGAAGGAGAGCGACAGAACATGGATGGCTATTTTCATAAAATAAACACATCTTACTTAGGAATGAAAACTGTTATGTTAGCAGTACAAAAAAATGTTGAAGAATCAATCTTGTTGAAACATATTTTTAAACTTTTCTCAATAATATCTTCCGATCCCTTACCACAAGATGTTATAATACAATTTATTAAAAGCATTGATCCACAAAAATCTGCAGAAGATGTCTGTCTTCAATTAAAGCATTGTTCTTTATTCCTTCAAACGGAAAACAACGACATCCGCCTGCACAGCGTTGTACACAAAGCCATCATAAATTATTCATCGCAGACCTTTGGCTGTAAACAAAACGAAAATAATTCTAAAAAGTCTGCAGCTGATCTTGCCTGTCAAGTTGCATTGGCACTAAATCATTTTAAAGACAGAGAAGATGAAACAAAAATAATTCCACATCTAATTAATTTCATACAAAATTCATCATTTCAACATTTCCTAAATAAGTTGATCGATGTAAAATCATCAAAACAAAAACTTGATGAAAGACATTGGAAATTTGCCAAATATTTTGTTGATGTTTTGAAAAGATTTTACAACTATGAACATGCAACTGAAGTACTTTCTGAAATAACAGAAATTCAAACTAAAGTGTTAGGTGTTGATCATATTGATGTTTCATATTCGTACAACAAGCTGGGTAAGTTGCTTTATAAGAATGGAGAATATGAAAATGCTAAAGATTTTCTCGAGCGAGCAATGGGAATTCAAACAAAAACATTTAGACCTGACCATGTTAATATTGCGGTAAGGTACAACAATCTGGGTTTGGTTTACGATAATATGGGAGAATACGAAAAAGCAAAAGATTTTTATGAACGAGCGATGAAAATCAAAAAGAAAGCATTTGGACCTGACCATGTTAATATTGCGAGAACGTACAACAATCTGGGTTTGGTTTACAATAATATGGGAGAATACGAAAAAGCAAAAGATTTTTATGAACGAGCGATAGAAATTGAAACGAAAGCATTTGGACCTGACCATGTTAATATTGCGACAATGTACAACAATCTGGGTTTGGTTTACAAAAT